GAGAGAGAGGGAGAGAGAGAGAGAGGGAGAGAGAGAGAAACGCACAACGCTGGACTGGCAGCCGGCGCGGGTCTCGAGGTAGCGCAGGGACGGCGTCAGGTCGCTCGTGAGCTTCTTCAGAGGCGGCACCTGGGGGCTCAGGGTCGCAAAGGCGAGGTTCCAGGGGGTCGCGAGGGCCGAGGGCGCGAGGTCGCGCCACTTGGACACGAGGCCGGGCTGCTCGAGGTACTGGGCCATGTCCTTGATGTAGGCGTCGTGGCGGACGAGGTTCGCAATGTGGACCTGCGTGTTGGCGACGTTCTGGGCGGCCCGCGACAGCTTATCGATCGTGGGCTGGGTGTAGCCCTGGTTGTCCATGGCGATGGGTCCGTTGCCGGGCCCATGCCCCGTCAGCGTCTCGACGCTGCGCAGGTCGGTGACGATGGTGTGGATGGCGTACTGCGACATGCGGCAGAGGTTGATGAAGACGACGAAGAGGAGGAAGAAGGGCGAGTGGATGCAGCGGCTGTACAGGTTGAGCGTCTTCTGGATGCTCGTCAGAGCCAGCGTGCCGTGGAGGAGCACGGGCGTGTTGCGCAGCAGCAGGATGGCGTGCGTCTTCATGGTGGCGGGGTTGAAGGACCAGGCGAGCGCAAAGACGTAGGTGCCAATGTAGAAGCTGTAGGTCCCGCGATAGGGCTCGTCGTAGTGGTGGAAGCCGTAGCTGCTGTAGGCGATCTGCTGCAGGATGATGGGATCGATGTCGAAGTCGTCAAAGAGCTCGAGGAATCGTTCCTTGGCCATGTCAATGTCATCGTCGCCGCCGCGGTCGATGACGACGAGCTGCAGAGACGGAGAGATGTGTGCGGGCGCCGATGAAGGCGTTGTTGCGGGTGCGGGTGAAGGCGAAGGCGAAGGCGAAGGCGAAGGCGCGGTTGCCGGAGCCGGGGTCGGGGCAGCGAGGTCTGTCTTCAACTTGGTTTCGGAAATCTTGCCCATGTCGTTGAACTGGGGAACACCGTCGTTGTCACATTCAATCTTGATGGGACGGACGTCAAAATGCTTGCATGGCACGGGTGGCTTCTTGAACTTGGCCGAGTCCTTGAAGGCGTCGGGTGACAGGCGGCGGAGGACGTCCATGGCGGCGGGTGCTGCTGGTGCTGCTGGTGCTGCCGCTGCTGGTGCTGCTGGCGTTTGGCTGTCGAACGAGGTAGTCGATCAGATGCTTGACGTCGTGTGTGCAGATCGTGTTGGCTTGCTGCTGGTCCAGCAGGGGACGCGAACAACCCTGGGCCGTCTGTCATCTTTATGCGCTGGGTGTGACAGCCTCGGACAGGGGACGAAGCGGCTCTGCGTCGGTCACTCACACACACACCCCCCAGGCTGGCCCCCAACTGTGCAGATTCTGAAGCCGAAAAAAGAGGCGCCCAGCTGAATCCAGCCTCACGGCGCCAGGGTTGCCCATTGGGTTGTGTTGATGGTTGGTGAGGGGTGGTCACATTGCATCGAGGGCGAGCCCAGGGTCGGTCGAGCCAAGGGTCGAGGTGTGTGTGTGGGAAGCGCGGGAGGCACAGGCCGCGGACCAGCGAGGGGCCGCTATGATGGCTAGGGCCGCAGCCCCTAAAATAGTGGCAGGCAATGCCTACCTGCCTTGCCTTGCGTGCCTGCTTAGGGGCCTACCTAGGTGCCTAGCTGGGTACCTAGGTAGTTAGGTAGATACCCAGGGGAATACCCAAGAGCCAGTGCTGCTGTACCCTGTAGGTCCCCAAGGAAGGTACCTTGGCTTAAGGCTCTTGATCCACCTGCCCAGATACCTACCCGTGCTACCAGAGGTACATGTACCCACCTACTAGGGACGTACTAGGTACCCACAAGGCCCCAGCACTGCCCCGCTGCACCTGGCGCGCGCCACATCCATACGTCACAGTACCTCTTGCCTTTTTCCACTCGACCACCACCAGCCGTTCACGATCCTGTCATGGTGAGGCTCTTCACGATCGACCCTTGCCATGCCATGAGCCGCCGACCCGTCACTGTCGATTGAGCACGCATCTATCGGCCACTTGGCAGCCACTGCTGTCTGTCAACTCTGACCACCCGCGACTGCATCAACACACACACACACACACACACACACACATACCCTCGCCCATCATGCAGGGCTTCAACATGGGCCGCTACGTGCCCCCCGACCTCGAAGGCACCGTCTCCGGCAACGCCCTCCACGCCAAGCTGCCGCCGGGCCGCTCCGCCGCCAAGCCCGGCGTCCAGACGGTCCGCTTCGAGATGCCCTTCGCCATCTGGTGCTCGACCTGCCCGAAGCCCACCATCATCGGCCAGGGCGTGCGCTTCAACGCCGAGAAGCGCCGCACCGGCGCCTACCACTCAACCCCGATCTGGACCTTCCGTATGCGCCACGCTGCCTGCGGCGGCACCATCGAGATGGCCACCGACCCCCGGAACACGGCCTACGTTGTCGTCGCCGGCGCCGCGAAGCGCGACACGGGGCCCGCCGCCCGTGACGGCGACCTCGTCGTCATGACCGACGAGGAGAGGGCCGCCCTGCGCGCCAGCGCCTTTGCGAGCCTCGAGAAGACGATCGAGGACCGCGCGGCCGTCGCCGCGGCGACGGACCGCATCGACGACCTCGAGGACGTGGCGCGCCGCCAGTGGCAGGACCCCTATGCGCGCAACCGGGCGCTGCGCCGCACGTTCCGCGTCGGCCGCCGGGAGAGGGAGCGCCAGGCGGGTGTGGACGACGGCGTGCGCGCGCGCATCGGGTTCGACTTGGACCTGCTGCCCGCCACCGAGGCCGACGCGACGAGGGCTGCCCTCGTCGAGTTTGGGCACCACGACGATGACGACGCGGGGGAGCGTGCCCGCAGGGCATTGGCGAAGCCTCTGGTCGTCAAGCCTCGCGGAGACGGCGAGAAGGAGAAGAACAAACCAACAACGGGCGCCACCGGCGGCGGCACGGCGGCGGCGGCGACGCCAAAGAGCAAGCTGCTCGCTTCCCAGCGAAGAGCGGGCTTCGTGTCAGAGCTTGTCGGCAACACGCGCATGGCCACCGATCCCTTCCTGGTGGATGCCAAGATGCCGAGCTCATCAACCAAGACCAAAGGCCTGCTTCCGGGGATCAAGCGCAAGAGAGAGGCTGCGGAAGAAGCGGACGCAGAACACCCGACGCGCGAACCGACACAGCACGACACAACACCATCACGGCAGGACACGGCACCACCAACGGGGTTGGTAGCCTATGACTCGGAATCGGATTGAGAAACGCCCCACATCCCAGGGACAACTTGCATTAGACGGCGGCGTTACTTTTCACATGTTTGCTTTCACGTCAAGATACCCCGGGTTGGCACTGATTTGCTATGGAAGAACCATCAACCAATAGCCATGATATGCAACTTTATTTCATGCTTCTTCGCCCTTCATCTGAACACGAATGGTAAAGTCAATCATTCCCTAAACCTAAAGGCCGCCTCATCCAGGGGGCATCCATGTATGGCCTATTCAACGAATATCCCAAAAAGCACGGAAAGCAATCCAAACACACCCTACACAGTCCGGTCATGGAGTCGAGGGCCCTGCGCTTCGATCCTCTGCATAAAAACTCCCCATCATTTCAGAACGCCCCGTCGGCAAGTACTCCGCGAGCAGCAAGTGGCCCGAAAGGCAAACAAGAAGAAGAAAGAGCTCGCTTGACCTGGCGACGGATGGATTTTTAGACGCGGCTCGAAAGGATCAGTGCCACTGGCTGTCGTAGCCCCGCTGGTTCGGCCAAGCTGCAAGGAGGCAAGAGAACAATCAAACATCCATCCTACCAGCGGGCTGGTCGTCGTCGTCATCGCCGAAGCTGCCTACCGAAGACATGTCGTCATCGTCTTCGCTTTCTGCGCCAGCCTCGTTTGCGGCGTCCTTGCTCGCATACTTTTGCACGTATTCTGTGGTCCATCATCAGCACGTCGTTGCTTTCTTATGACCGTCTCGGGCATCACACACCCTTGACCTTGACGTCGTAGCTCTTGGGCTCCCTGATCATCAGGGCGGCCGCCTCGCCGTTGAGTGGATCGGTGGGGTTCGGGTATCGCAGAAGCTGAGGGAGGAAGACCTCGAAGATGTTGATCATATCGAACATTGGCGACCAGGTCTGGTTGATGACGTCCAGGCACACGGAGCCCGACCTGCGAAGAGGCCCGCGTCAGTCTTTCATACGTCCTGTTTGTTCCGTTTGCTTCCTGCTCTTCTGTAGGCCAACTCACAGCTCGTCGATATTGGGATGGAAGATTCGGTTGACGAAGCCGATGCTTGGAGATTTGTAGGGGTAGTTGTCGGGGAGCTCAACGTGAACTTTCCAGTTGCCGCCTTCGAAGGGTGCTGCTCCAGGTCAGCATACAGGTCCGCCATTCCATGTTTGTAGTGTGGTCCGACTGACTCTCCGTGGGGCCCTTGAAGCGGACGTAAAACTCTTGCCTGTGTCGGAGTGGTCAGAATGTCGTCGAGCGTACGGTTGGCCGTCGAATCACTGCTTACACTTAGATCGGTTAGCAACGGGTATGGGATGAAGGACGGGATACGTGGGAACTCGGAGACGAACTGTTGTCGTTCACAAGCGTGACTTCATAGTCGCTCATGAGCCTAGAGGCAGTGTTAGTTGTACCATGGGGTCAACCATGACTGAAGAGATCGTACATCCTGCGACATGTTAGCTAGTGGGACTGCTGCACTACGGAACAGCGACACCGTACTTCATGACCTGTTGAATGTATCAGTCAGCAACACTGCGTCCTTCTGGCAACCTTGCGTACAATGTGTGGGAGACGGAGCACATACATCAGTCTCGATTCTGCGGCGCGGGCTACTCATCTTGCTGGATGTTGTGGGTTCTCGCGGTGGGTGACGTTATCAATTCGATGGTTACGTTGACGGGCTATGAACGTGGTGGAGATATGTCCTTGTTGAGAGATGATTCGCAATGCTTCGACTCGACTGAAAGGCGAAAGGCAGAGGTTGTTGGAGGAAACGGGGTTCAAATCAGGCTGTGCTGTATGCTGGGCTGGGGGGTCAGAGGGCGAGTCACGAGATTATGTAGAAAGGTTGACAAAGAGGGGTGAAGTCGGGTTCCTCCTGGAACCGTCTAAGTTGCAGTCACGCGTGATGATGCAGTGAGGTGGGCAGCACCGGGACGATAAGCTAGGCCGGATGGGTCTGATAAGCCAGCGAGCTCCTTGTTGGCGGGGTCCATCCCTGGATCGCCGAGCCGAGTGGGATGCTGGTCCCCTGACGTGTGACGGCGCTTGCCCACTAAGACCGACCAGCGTCCTTGTGCCTGCTCTGCTGGGAGGCCTTACATGACTGAACGACTCTGAGTATGCTAATCGCGGGGTGCAGTTGTTGCTCAGCTCCGGGCTCCGGGGGTGGGCAATATGTGAATCGTGATGCGACTGCTGCCTGCCTGGGCAGACAGTGGAACATCACGACGTGGCGACATTCAGGAAGGGGTTTCGTTGCATATGGGAACCTCAAAAAGGTAAGGTATATGCGTGAAGCACATGCCTGAATAGTGCATCAAAAAGAGCCCTGCTCACCTTGATGTCCTGCAACAAGCATCATGGATTGCCTTTCAATTGTCATGCGCCCCCCGCCTGTCACCTGTCGTGTTGGAGTGTTGCGGGTGGGAGAGTTGGGAGCCTGAGGCCCCAGAGACACAGTCGGCATCGTGGGATTTGAACACGGGTGTCGTGGCTTATGATGTCTTCGGGCATCAACCGCCCATCCGCAAATCGAGTTGCAAGACCGAGGAGGAAGCTCATGAACAACCAAGCCAAGACAGCACCTCCTGTATTGAGCCAAGTGTTAGGAACAGACTTGCCAGACGCGAACGGCCCTTCCCTTCGCAGCATGGGTGCCGAGGTAAATTGCTGACATAACCGAGCTGGACCACATACTGGCAACCCTCCGGGCCAGACACACAGCGGACCATAGTGGGGAAGGGTGCTCCAGGGGGGCGCTGGCTCTTAGTGTTCAGAAATTCCAACACCACAAGACGGTGCAGAGCATGAGCATTTCTACGCAGCATATACCATCATGACCTCGACAATAAAAGAACCTTCCGCACCAAGAACTCACCCGCCCTGATTTTCTCTCCTCATCACAAAATACCGGAAACAAGCGAACTCGAACCCCATTCGGAAGCATCATCTTATTCTCGGGCTCTGATCATTGCAATTCCCTACTGAGCTGCCATACCTTTTTTTCGAGGTACTTTGGTTTGTACCAATGTCGCTCCCATTCAAAAGTACCTTCTTTCGGTCGTGTGCCTCGGCTGCACGAAGCACACGACCACACGTCAACGCCGCGAAGCCCCTTTACGCCGCTGTATCACAACACAACCAGCTGCGGTGGAGTTCTCACTCGCCCATGGGCGCATCATCCGGGATCGCGCGGAAAAAGGTGACCCTAGGCCAGCTCAGGAGTCAGCATCGCAAGGGCGACCCGATCACGGTCATCACGGCACATGACTTCCCAAGCGCCTACGTTGGCGACATCGCGGGCATGGACATGATACTCGTGGGTGATAGCCTCGCCATGGTCGCCTTGGGGATGGAGGACACGAGCGAAGTGCTCGTCGAGGAGATGCTGTTGCACTGTCGATCGGTCGCACGCGCAACCAAGAGCGCCTTCACCGTGAGTACCTACGCGCACTGTCCCCTCCGTGGCAATGACTGACAGCGTCAAGATTGGCGACCTGCCGATGGGCTCGTATGAGATCTCGCCGGACCAAGCGCTGGAGACGGCGATTCGCTTCATCAAGCAGGGCCGTATGCAAGGTATCAAGCTCGAAGGCGGCAAGGAGATGGCCCCCACCATTCGCAAGATCACGCAGGCCGGCATCCCCGTACTCGGCCACGTCGGCCTGACCCCACAGCGGCAAAACGCCTTGGGCGGCTTCCGTGTTCAGGGCAAGACGGCGGCGGGAGCGGCGAAGCTCCTGGAGGATGCGCTGGCTGTGCAGGAGGCTGGCGCCTTCGCCATGGTAGTGGAGGCCGTGCCGGCTGAGGTCGCGACGCTTGTGACGCAGAAGCTCTCGGTGCCAACAATAGGCATCGGCGCCGGTAACGGGTGTTCGGGCCAGGTACTGGTGCAAGTTGACATGATTGGCAACTTCCCTCCAGGTCGCTTCTTGCCTAAATTTGTCAAGAAGTATGGGGATGTCTGGGGCGAGAGTCTCAAGGCGATCGAGGCCTACAAGCGCGAGGTGAAGAGCCGGGAGTACCCGGCGCCGGAGCACACGTATCCTATTTCGAAGGAGGAGCTGGAGGCATTCGAGGCGGCGGTCGAGAAGATTTGAGGCCTTTGAGTATCAGCATTGGGTTGAGTCGCGATAAAGCGAGACTGGTTGCATTCTTGGTGTTCGGCGTAGTTGGTGATCTCTTGAGCATGGAGCATTGCATATCATGGAGGCTTGAATTCGGAAAACAAGAATGCAGAGCTTTTGTAGCCCTAGTTTGCTTTCCGTTTCGAGAGTGCTTTCGAGTATCAGCATCAATATGGCAGGTATCAACAGAAATATGAGCAACTATGTTGGGGGCACATGTTTTAGCATACCTGGTTGCATGTGGCGAAGCATATGAGCGACTAGCCAACTTGAGGTGAGACTTCATCCGAAGGCTGGTGTCATGGAGTAAGAGATCACAAGTTGGTCGCTCATGTCCTTGAAGCAGCCATGCAGGTTCCCAACGACTTCGTCGAGGGAAGGGGCAAAGGCGCTGTTGACATAACAGAAGACACTGTCGGTGCTCTGAACTTTGAGCTTCTTGCGCAAGTGCTGGACGATGTTTTCAAATTTCTGATCGGCGCTGATCTTGAAGACGGAGCGGGGGAGAGATGGGGCACTGCCGATAGGCTTGAAGCTAACGACGACCTTGGCGTTAGGGAAGAGGCCAGCACTGGCGAGGGCGGCCGTTACATCGCGGGGTTGGGCTGTGAGTATGGCGGAGGCCGACATGGTCAAGGGAATGTCGGGCGAGGTGGTGCGGTCGGGTATAGGGGAGTCAGGGGGCGAGGCTGGGGGGGACTGCTGCGCCGGAGAAGACATGGTGACGCCCGTGTGGTGATGGCTAGTTGTGGTGTTTCAATCTTTGATGCAACACCTAAGAGGGCTGAATGCCAGCCTTGCAAGGCGTGATGCAGCAGAACGAATAGGTGTGAAGGTCTGCAGATGGTCACCCATGTATTTGAACGGCTAGGTTGATTGACGTGTTGAGTTGGGATCTCGAAGGTTGGACTGGCCGTGGTTGCCTGATGAGATGAGCCTTTATCGGCGTGACGAGGTACTGTATGTGCCTTACTTCGATCTTGAGTCCAGAGGTTGTGATCCCCACTTGTTAGGGGAGTTCCAGCCGGCGCAGCCAATGAAACCGTGCTAGGGGTCGCCTCCCTCACAGCTAGGTACCTTAGGCACGCAAGTACCAGAACGGCCCCCTATGAACCTCCAACGTCCCCTGTAAGCCCCCGTAGGTCCGCTGGGGAACGCCGGTCTCTCCTGCCGTATGGCCCAACGGATGGCATGAGCAGCTAGTCAGTCCCTCTTGCCTCGTGTGCAATTCCCCTGAGAGGCTGACTGGCCAAAGCGAGCAACATCAACGCATCACCAACTGCCACTTGTTGGACCACAAATATCTTCATTCGCTCGACATGCCTCGCCCGAGTATCAGCCCGACTTTGCCGCAGACAAGGCACGATATGCGCCCTCGATGGCCTCCCTTCTTGGGAATAGCCTGCCTATTTGGCGCACGACCAAGCCATCTGGTGGCGTACCGGGATATTTTCTTCTCCTTGCCGTCATCTCTGTGCTGTTGGTTGACCTGAGGCTGCAGTTTAAGGCCCCGAATTGAGCTTTCCCATCCTCTCGGAGCACTTCTCTCACCGCAAATTCGACTTGCCTCCCTGAGACCGGTGCTTTGAGCCATCTCACTTACTTCAAGCGCCTATCGACCTTGCGTACCCCTCGCTCTTTTACTCTCACATGTGCCGGACAACATACCTTGGTACCTGAGCCATTGCAGCCGCGGCAATTACGACCATCACCACGTTGCACCTTGTGTCTGTCCCATCGCATCAGCGATCCGCCGAGACACACAAGGAGACTCCTGTGATACTCCTCCCCTTTTTGTTTGTGGGCTGCGTTACGATTTCTACGCTCCTATTTCGTACCATATCAAGCTCAATTTCTCCTCCTGGTAATTTTCGCGGCGAAAACCACATCGCCCATTGACGGAGCTCTTCTTCGCCTCCTCCTGCCCCTATCTCTCCTACCGGAGCCTCCCATAATGGATGACAACCTGTCCGCCCCTCGGCATGCTTCTGTCGCCCTCAAAACCTGGAGGAAGCTACAAGATCTCAAGGCCGGTACTTCTATGGCCCTCGACGGCCGATCCCTTGACGTCGCCTCTGTTGTTGCCGTCGCTCGCCATGGCCTCGTACCTCACATCAAAGAAGACGCCCATTTAAAAGAGCGTCTACAACAAAGCATTAACGTGCTGAACAGTCATCTAGATCATGACTGGGTTATCTATGGTGTCAATACCGGCTTTGGCGGGAGTGCTGATGCCCGAACCGAAAAGCTCCGCAAACTTCAGATCTCTCTCCTTCAGCACACGCAAAGTGCCATTATTGCCACCTCTGACGTGAACGGCGAGCTCCTCGACCGCGATGGACAGTCTCATGCCATTCCCACCGACTGGGTTAAAGCCGCCATCCTGGCCAGAGCAAACCAGAATCTTCGCGGCCACAGTGCCGTCAGGTTGGAGGTTATTGACACACTGCTTAAGCTGCTCCGATTCGACATCACCCCGGTGGTGCCTTTACGCGGCACCATATCTGCCTCGGGCGATCTCATGCCCCTATCCTATATCGCCGGCACCTTGACAGGAAGCTCCGGAATTCGAGTCCGCCATGGGCCTTCCGCCTCTCATAGGCTGACCACAGCCCAGGCTGCCTTTGAGATGCACAACATCACACCTATTGAGCTCGCCCCGAAAGAAGGCCTGGGTCTCATCAACGGCACCGCACCTTCTGTAGCTCTCGCTGCTCTCATCGTACATGAATCTCAGCAGCTTGCCATTCTTGCCCAGCTGCTCACCGCTTTCACCGCAGAGTCCCTTGCCGGCAACGTGGAATGGTCGAACCCCTTTATTCACGCCATCCGGCCCCACCCTGGTCAACGGGAGGCGGCCTCGACCATTCGCGCCCTCCTCAAAGGGTCCACCTTTGTCACCGGCCTCGAGTCCCGGAAGCGCACCGGCGAGGGCCTCTGGCAAGATCGCTACTCCACGCGTACAGCCCCCCAATGGCTCGGCCCTTACCTGGAGGACCTCCTCCTCGCCCAACGCCAGGTCGAGATTGAACTCAACTCGACCTCTGACAATCCCGTCATCGATACAACCGCAGGTCCCGAGGGCGATGTCTACTCGGGCGGCAACTTCCAAGCGACAGCCGTCACGTCAGCCATGGACAAGACGAAGAATGCCCTGCAGATGATCGGCCGCATGGTCTACTCGCAGTGCACGGAGCTCATCAACCCGTCACTCAACAACGGCCTTGACGCTAACCTCGTCTTCGGCGACCCAGACAACTCATATACGATGAAGGGTATCGACGTCAATATGAGTGCCTACATGGCCGAGCTCGCTGCCCTCGCTCACCCCGTCTCGGCCCACGTGCAGTCGGCCGAGCTGCACAACCAAGGCATCAACTCGCTCGCCTTTCTCTCGGCCCGCCGCACGATGGAGGCACTCGACGTCCTCGCCCACATGTGCGCTTGCCACGCCTACGTCTGTTGCCAAGCCATCGACCTGCGGCACTACCACCGCCGCTTCCTCGCCGCCCATACACCGCTCCCCGCGCTTGCGTCCCTCAACATCAAGCTCGACGAGGCGCAGCGTGCCGACGTGGTCGCGCTCTTCACTGACACTTGGCACGACGACAATAAGACGAACTACCAGACGCGCTGCCGCCGCGTAGCCTCCCGCGTAGCCTCGCACGTCCTCTCCCTGGCCATGGCACAGGGCTTCGCGCCACTGGAAGCCATCGCGGCATTCGAGATGGGTCTCTGCAAGGACATGCTTGCCTGGGTCGCGGACCCTGCAAACGACCCCGAGCCAGCCGCGTCGGTCCCGATGGGGAACCCGGCTATGCCTGGACTAGGTCAGGGATCGAGCGTGTTGTACGGCGTCGTCCGCGGGGCGCTCGCCGTACCATTCAACCGCGGGGTTCTCGCCCACGGGCAGCCGACGATCGGAAGTGACGTGAGTAAGGTGTACGAAGCTGTGCGGTTGGGGACCGTCATGGACGCCATCATGGGCGAGCTCTCAGGACTTTGGGAGGAGCAGCCGGCACCAACAAGAGCAAAGCTTTAGGATAAGGGGGCTAAAGCACGAAAGGGTGGTAGATTCGTGGTTCCCAGGCAGTAAAGCGATGCGCAGCTTGGAAACCAAATGACAACTCTTCTCTGGAAAATTGCCGTCGATATGCAACAACGAATTCTAACACCATGATAATAATAAGACTCCTGAGGCGACCTCCCAAGAACCAATTTCATCTCGATCATATCCATTCACAACAAAGACGCGCACTTGATGAACTTTACATACACCGGTATTTTTCCTGACAGCAAAGGTGCATAGAGGAACTACGAATTGAGTCCCAAAGGGTTCTCTTTCATCCGTGGATCCCAACTTCCAAACGTACAGACTACATCGCCTCCTTATTTCAGGCAGACTTTGGCACGACTAGCTCTTTTCGCGGTACCTTCGTACAATACGTCTATTTTCACTATGTCCTTACTCCGCCTTCCTGGGCCAACCGGTTATGCCCATCTTATCTCACGCCGGGGGGGGGGGGGATGGATGGGGTTGAAGTCTTTCCACAGGGAACACACTGTTGGCTCGACTTGGAGTTAGTTGAAGAATATGCTCCCGACTCCTGGCCATCGTGACTCCGTCTCCAACGATGTCGTCACCCCGCCATCTGCCCTCTCGATACCCTCTCGCAACCTATTTCCACAAGTAGTCAAATTCGGAATGCTTGAACCGAGTCATCCTCGCCGCCAATTATGTACTATACGGTACGACGCTCAGCTTTCTACTGCCAGAGCGCGTGAGTAATCTCACCTCACATCATTCGCCAACCATGAGCGAGCCCTATTGTTCACTCTGACCCCGCTTTGGTTGTGAAAAGCTCTGCCTGACGGACAGATCTTCGTCACCCTAACCATCTATCAGGCAACCCCCTCGAACCATTTCAAGCCTATATACAGATGGCCGACCCTTTGGCGACCATTGGTGTCATCGGTGTCGCAGTTCAGATCCTCGGCTTCGCCGCTAAACTGGCCTGAATTGGAAAGACGCACCAGCCGACATAAAGCGCGTCATGGCCGAGATACAAACGCTCAGGACGGTTCTCTCCAAGACACATGCAAACATTCTTATTGATGACGACTTTGAGAACGCTTTTTGCGGCCGACACTCTATGCTCCTGAGGCAGGTTGGGGACATAGCGGGACCCACAGACACCAATATAATAGTCTCAGTATGCAAGCGAGAGCTGGACGATCTTCACGACGACCTAAAGAAGCGAGTGGAAGGCCAACGCACAGGCTGGGAACGGCTTAGAGGAGCCTTGCTGGCGAGGAGAATGAGGGTGGCGGTCGAGAACCTTCATCGACAATGTGCCACCTTGAACAGCTTAGTAGTCGTAGACGCCCTGGCCCTCGTTGCCCATACTTACAAAGTAGTCACAGACGCGAGGAAAGAGCAACAAAGCTGACAAGCGGGCCGAGAGGATAAAGCCATCCTGGACTGGATTAAAATAGCGGACTATAGCAGGCACTGGCCAGTGGCTTCTGAACTCGGCGGAATACCAGCAGTGGATCGAGACGTCACAGCAGACTCTATTTTGCTCTGGCATCCCTGGAGCTGGCAAGACAGTTCTTACATCGATCGTCATCAACGACCTCTATATTCGGTTCCGAGATAACGAGCACGTCGGTATCGCATTTCTATCCTGCAACCTTCGATAGTAGGCGGAATAGAAAGTTGAAGATCTACTATTAAGCCTGCTAAAGCAGCTATCCTAAAATCACACATCCCTGGTAGAGTGCATCAGAAGTCTATATAGAAAATATATAGGTAAGACCTGGCCAACCCTCAAGGAACTATCTAGAGCCCTGCAGGCTGTAGCGAGGATCTTCTGAAGACCTTCATTGTCGTCGACGCTCTTGACTAATATCAGCTATCTGACGGTAGTTAATATAGGTTTCTTACGGAGGTATTCGCGCTGTTAACTACGTCTAGAGCTAACTTCGTTATAATATCGAGATATACTTAAAACATTCCCGAAATGTTCAAGAATAGCTTATCACTGGAAATTCGAGCGCGTCCTGAAGATATCCGGAGATATCTCGAGGGTAACATGGCTCACATGCCCTCATATATCGATCGGAGTCCAGATTTACAGGCTGAGATTATAGCCAAGATCGTCGAGACTGTGGATGGAATGTACGATTATGCCCCCTTTGATCTCTCGGGACTATGCATAAATGAACCAGGTTCCTTCTTGCGCAACTGCATCTCGACTCCTTGAAGGGAAAGAGATCCCCCAAAGCTCCGCTCGGCTCTGACTAGATTGCACGCCGGCTCTCAAGCGTATGACCTTGCGTACGATGATGCGATAGAGCGCATTAATGGCCAGCGCAAGGACGAGGTGGAGCTCTCGAAGCAAGCGCTGTCGTGGATCACCTGCGCTAAGCGGCCGCTTTCCACAATAGAACTCCAGTACGCGCTTGGTGTTGAAGTGGGCGAGACAGAGCTGGACCTCGACAACATCTCACAGATAGAAGACATGATGTCTGTTTGTGCAGGACTGGTCACGGTGGATGAGAAGAACAGCGTCATCCGCTTAGTGCACTATACTACGCAGGAATATTTCATGCGCACGTGGAAACGATGGTTTTCAAATGCACGGACGGAAATTACAGGTGTTTGCGCTATATATCTGTCGTTCAGCTCCTTTGAAGTAGGGTTCTGCCGTATAGATGCCGAGCTCGAGGACCGATTACGACTCCACCCTCTCGACGACCACGTCGCCTACTTCTAGGGTGACCATGCTCGAGAGGCTGGAAAAATTTCTCGGTTAGTTTTTGGTTTACTTCGAAACGAGAAAAGTATCGAGGCACAGGTTCAGGTCCTATGGGTGGCCAAAGGGTTACAGTCACGAGGATACAGCTAGTGGTTTCTAAAGAGAATGCGAGGGCTCTATATGACGGCATATTTTAGGATAGAACAAGCCGGGAAGGAATGATTGAATGGCGGCGACAGACCAGACATGGAGGACAGTTATGGCCGGACGCCGCTATCGTGGGCCGCGGGGAACGGACGCGAAGCCATCGTCAAGATGCTTCTCAACAAGCAACAAGTCGACATCAACTCGATGGATGGAGATGGCCGGACACCACTATTGAGGGCCACTATGAACGGGCACGAGGCAGTAGTTAATATAATTCTCGGTAAGGTACAAATGGGCATTGACTCAGGGGATAAAGACCGCCGGATGCAACTCTAGTAGGCTACTGCGCACGGATACGAGGCAGTTGTCAAGTGTCAGGTGGCCCTGCGAATTCACCGAATATAGGGCTGATTAGGGATTTAAGGACTACGAGAGCGTATATATAATGACTGCGGAGAGCCCTCCAAGCTGCGGAGTTCCAGAATTCATATATATTACAACCCTATACCTATTATGTATTGCCTGCGGACTACGTATAGAAGACCTCTTCATTCTGCCCTAAATTAAGCGCTATATCAAGATACTTTCTACGTCAAATTCGAATTTTGATATATAAGATGTATACAGCTTGACCACACTACAACTATCGGCTTTCAATGGTGGCGATGACGTGGAGGAATTAATATCAGCACACAATACCCCAGTTGTATTTAAATCCAATGTCTGCAAAGTCTGTTCCTACCTATTCCACAAGGCAGACTTCTAAATACTTGTTGAAGCCCAAATAGTACTGTATGTAAGCTACGTATTAGTGGACCTGATGTTATATATTCTGTTTAGCTGGCAGATAGGCAGACGAATGCGGAGCATCCTCACTTGAAATGAACGTCAATCTCAGGAGGAAGGGAGTTATATGCTTGTCTGGATACATAGAGTAGAGTTCCACATCGGACATCCCGTCTCTTCCTTGCATGACCATTTGAAACAATCAGCTGGTAAGCTCCGGAGACCCTTGCATTGCCTACCGTGTCTGACCATGCTCCCAGCAACGTGGTTCGCCCGCAATTTATATAGCTCCGAGGTGCATACAAGTGAAATGAGTCACGCATCAGAGGCCATGTTCGATACTCAGTCGGCTTACATGAGACATACGATATCATTTGTATCAGCTGCTCAGTAAATCTACACAAAAACGCTCATAACGCCATGATTATCGTGACCCCTTTCTTCCCGGGTCAACGTGACTAGGCATGTCCAGTTTCTGCCACTCTGGGGCCTGGATCCTGTTGCCCCCTCCAAGCTCTGTCTCCCTCCTCCAAGATCACATGCCCTTGTACCCGCTTGCCGTCGCCAACGTGATTCCGCAGTAGTACCATTCAACCCTCCGGAAAGTAGAAAAAAAAGAGATCCCATTCGATGGGAGCCACTATGTAAATGCTTCATGCCGTACGCCGCTGTGCATGCAATGCCTCCTTTGCCTGGTGGTCGACGCAAAAAACCGAAGGGAAAGTAAGGGGAATGAAGTCTCGAGGGACGACAATGCTGAACCAAGTGGTATCTTCTTGATGGCTTCCTCATGCGAGGGAATGGCCATGGCTCGCGCAGTAATGATGAAAAACAAAGCACGTTCCGTGTGCTGAGGACTGGTTGGTTGATTGGTTGTTGGAATTAGGGTATCGTTGAGTAGCCGAGGCGGAGGAGGGCAGATGATCGAGAAGTCAAAACGAAGAGGTTGTGGGAGGCAGGAGATAGGCGAGATAGGCCCGCATCAGAGTGCAGCTTGCCACTCGCTGTAGAATTGTGAGCGAGGTTTACAGCGTTGTCGTTCAAGCTTCCCCAGAAGCTCATCAAGCTCGCCCCAGTTGTCGAGGTTTTCGGCGAATTTGCGGTGCTTGCGAGAAAGGATGTGCTAGAACGAGTCAGCAAAGCGAAGTCGAGGCAAGATTGACGTTACGTACCTCATCGAAGTCCTTGAATTTGTCCTGACAGTTCTCACAATAGCCAGGCTTGAGATCCCGTTTGCTCTTCTGGGCAGGCGCTGACTGCGCCTTGGTGCTAGCCCGCGTCTGCCTCATCTCGCCCTTATTGGCGTCCTCCTCGATCAGTTCCAGGCGTCGACTAGTGGCCCGTACAGTGCTCCCGGATCTGCTAGATGCGACATCGACACTGAGGTCGGGTCGCCGAGAGCTGGGGTCTTGCGAATAGGATGTGCCTCTCTGGAGAACCTTGCGCTGAAGTCCATGAATCTCCTTGCTCGTGCCCGCCTTGGCGGCGCCGGTACCGGTGGCTGATGAAATCATCTGAGAACGAATGGCAGAAGTGACATTGGACGGCTGGACACCTGACGCGACAGGCTCCCCGGCAAGGAAGCGGCCGGCAGGCGCTCGGCTGACAAAACCAAAGTCGGACGGCTTGGACTCGATCGTCTTGGGCGCCTTGAAGACGTCGGCGGGGTTCACAGAGGTGGCGCGAACCTGCTCCTGACCATTCTGCATCTCAGCCAGAGTTCGCTTGCCAATAACGGCTTTCGGCGCCTGCGCCTCAGGAGGCTGTAGGCTGGGGCGAGCTTCGAGGACGCGCCTGGCGGCCCTCTCCTTCTCTTCGGCCCGAGACCTTCTCGCTGCACGGTCGACGGGGTCGACTTCCTCCACGAAGGGGCATCGTCCGTCGGTGACGGTTCGGAACTGCGGCCACTCTCCCTCATACTTGCTGGCCCTCGGATACTCGCGCACCATGATGGGTTTTTGCTTCTCGTCCATGTCATAAACATAAATGTAAGGTCCTCTGAACTGGATTAGCTCACGGCTGGCGACGGTTGGGTCTCGGTCAGAAGGTCCGTTGAGTCGCTCCCGCTGCAGGAGCTGGGACAGGTTGGGCTCTTCGGCCGCCTTCTTGCTCCCTAAGCCGTGCCGACCAGCATCGTCTTTGCCGGCGTGCGCGATGGCCACGGCAGCATGAGGGTCAGGCTGCAGAAGGATCTCGAGCATCCTCTGAAATTTCTCCAAGGGCCAGATCTTCTTGCCCATATCGCGGGCCTTGTGCAGAATGTCATTGTTTCGCATGGGCTTGGGCCGGCGGAGGCTGTCATCCTGCAATTGAGCGTGTGTCCTCTTGGTGCCGGTATCGAATAGACGCCGCCGGGTGTCGGTAGATCGATTGAGCAGGGAAGGGTTGATCGTCTGCGGCTGCTCCTCATGAGCATGCTGCTCGTGGTGCGAGGCATGAACCTCGTCCTCGGTGGGAATGGGGCGGGTGGTCACGACGTGGGTGATGTTGTTAGAGAAGAATCGTTCCTCACGCTAGATGAAAAGCAACACGGTCAGCATACGAAGGGAAAACATGTTGACCAAAGGGGGGTTCTCACAGCTCCCAGGCTGACAGCCTGCTTGGACAGCTTGTAGCGGAGATCCTCGGAGATGCTCTCGAAGTAGAACACCATCTTGGGGAACCTCGCCTGGTACTCCTTCTGCCACTGTCGGATCTTTTCGACACTGTTATCCTGCTGGGTCTGCTCCTGTTGCTGAGCGGTCCTCTCCTTGGTGGACAGGCGGACAGAACGTTGGGGCAAAGCGCTCCTGTGACCCTTCGACGGTGAGCGAAGCTGGCGCTGGAGGCCATTCTCAAGCATCTGCTTCTTCAGCGGCGGAGGCTGGCCATAGGCCTCCTCCCGCTGCAGGTTGGCATAGGAACGCTTGGGCTTGGTCTGGCCGAGGGTGGCGGCACCTGGGGCCCTCAGAGGTGAGTTGGCGACATTGGGATTGCTGGACAGGGGCGTCCGTCTTGCAGTCGACATGGCAGACAGGGTGACGGGTGTCGGGGATAGAGATAAGGTTGCCATAAAAAATGTCCAATCAATATGCTGTTTGCGGGTCGAAAGTGGAGAGGTCGATCTCTTCGAATGTACGAATCTCGAGAGCAAAAAGAGTCGCTCGATTCAACGGTCGCGAGGCGTGACGAAGCGTCGGGTGAGGTGGGAGGCGGAGGCGGTGGTGTCGGAGGAGTAGGATTGATGCTTCTGTGGACGAGGGTCTTTGGTGGTGGTGGTGGTGGGTGGAGTGGGCACGCGACGTGCAGGACCGACACGTCTCGACCGCGTACTCACAGGTGCAGCAAGAGAAATGCGTCAAGAAGACATTGAAGAAAGAGAGAGGCCAAAGCAGCAGAAGACAACGTCGACGAGGAGAGGGAAACGGGATCTGGGTGCAACAAACGACGAGGGAGCTCTCGTCGACTGTCTATGGGGTGTTGTGGTTAGCAGTGGGAGGGTGGGAGGGCAGTGTGCAGTGCACCTTGAGTCGGAAGTCGGAGTCGTAGGGAAGAGCTTTGGGACCATCAGCAGAAGGCGTGCTGGTTTTGGTGTGGCCGGGCAGGAAGAGAGGACGAGGGAGGGTTCCCCACCTGCTGGTGGCCGTGCAGGGCCCTGACTGGGCAGACGACGGGCAATGTGGGCACAGCGCGGCCGGGGGGCAACAACAGCGCTAATCCTGGTTGGGCGCCGCCGACAACACGCACGAGCCACAGTCCGCTCTGGCAACCGGCCTCATCCGCCAGCTGTCGTCCATTTCGGGTCGGGAACCCCGCTGCAAGGCTCGCTAAACCGTTGCCCGATTGCCGCGCTTCAGTGCCCTGAACTCAGTAAACCGTGTGGCTGGGGGGATTGCACCCCACTCGTTCCGTGCCGGCGCGCCCAGCTACAGCGCGTTTCTGGCTTGCTGATGTCACTGAACGGAATGTCTGCCAGGCTCTTCTCGCCGAGCGGAAATTCTACGGGCCGCCGCCAGCCTCCCTGTAGCGTTGCCAGGGGAGGAGCTCCAAGTGTCAGCCTCAGTGTACTCACCCACCAAACCGAGGGAAGCTCGCCTCGCTCAGCCTGTCTGTCTGCCTAGAGTGAAGCCATCGTGAGCTTCAAACCATGTGAAGGATAGCAAGCCAGACGAACAAGGGAACAACGGTCAAAACCTGCAGGGCCAATCAGACAGTATCAATCTATTGTCTCCCTGGTATACGAACCATCGGCCTCGAGATCATAAACAATTTTTTCCCCCTCCTTGTCCCCTTTACATGAGATCCGTCATCAATTTTTGATCCCTGCGTATGGTCTCACCTTCTTTTCCGCCCTCCCTCTACATCCACCACCGCGATGTCCCTGTTCCGCCTCACACAGCGCAACCTACGCTTCTCAGTACCATCATGTTCATTACGAGCATCATTACCGACACCGTCGAGTCGACGTCATGCTCTCCGAACATTTGCCTCCGTTTCAGCAGCTGATCTCCAGTTTGGTCAACCAGTTCACGAAACACATCCCCACATCTTGAAGGCCGGTGAAAGTCAGTTACATCTCGTCATGCGTCCCTACGTCGTCTTTTGATGACCAAGAACCCCTCGCTAACAGCCACAGTCACCCCCGGCATCACAGCGCAAGAGTACTATGACCGCCGCGCCAACCTCGCCCATCGTCTCCCCGAGGGCGCCCTCGCCATCCTTCCCGCCGCCGAGCTCAAGTACCGGTCAGGCGCAGTCTTTCACCCCTATCGCCAAGAGTCCAACTTCCTCTACCTCACCGGCTGGGCCGAGGGCGACTCACTCGCTGTCATCCGCAACACCGGCCCCCAGTGGGGCGACTTTACCTTCCATCTCTTCTGCCAGCCCAAGGATGCTACTGCCGAGCAGTGGTCCGGCCCGCGCAACGGCATCCAGGCGGCCGCCGACATATTCAACGCCGACGACGCCGGCGATATCAACAGGATCGACAGGCTCCTGCCCGACATTGTCAAGTCAGCCACGCGCGTCTACACCGACCTCGAGAGGCCGCGCCAGGGCCACGCCGAGAGCAAGCTCTGGTCCCTCGTCAAGGGTGACAAGGCGTGGTGGCCCTCCACCCGCTCGCCCTTGTACCCCATTCTCAACACGCTGCGCGCCATCAAGTCGCCGGCCGAGATTGCCAACATGCGCAAGGCCGGCCAGATCTCGGGCCGCGTCATCACGGACGCCATGCGCCGCGCCTGGACGCGTGAGAAGAACCTGCACAACTTCCTCGACTACCGCTTCGCCGTCGACGGCTGCGACGGCCCTGCCTACATCCCCGTCGTCGGCGGCGGCCGCAACGGTTCGTGCATCCACTACGTCCTCAACAACGACGTCCTGCGCCCCGGCGACATGGTCATGGTCGACGCCGGTGGCGAGTACGGCACCTACATCACAGACATTACCCGTACCTGGCCCCTCGACGGCAAGTTCACCCCGCCGCAGAGGGACCTCTACGAGGCCGTGCTCAAGGTCCAGCGCGCCAGCGTCGCCCTGTGCCGCGAAGACGCGAGGCTGACCCTCGACGACATCCACGACCACACCTACCGCGGCCTGCACGAGGAACTCAAGAGCCTCGGCTTCGATATTGCCCACCGCGACGTTGACCGCCTCTTCCCCCACCACGTCGGCCACTACATCGGCCTCGACGTGCACGACGTGCCGGGCTACGGCCGCCGCGTGCCGCTCAAGTCGGGCCACTGCGTCACGGTCGAGCCCGGCGTGTACGTGCCGGACGACGAGCGCTGGCCCAAGCACTTCAGGGGCCTCGGTGTGCGGATCGAGGACAGTATTTGCGTTGATGCATCGTCGCCTTTCATCCTCACAACCGAGGCCGTCAAGGAGGTGGCTGACATTGAGGCGCTACGGGATTGAGCCCCGGCCTCGCCTGGACTACATGTAACATGACCTGTACATCACCATACTTACGACGGATTTGACTCGCCATCTATCGTCAGGACATGGACGGCACACAGCGGGAGTAGCAAGCTCCGGTTGGCTCAGTATATTGCCGCGAAAATAATCTAATCGCATCGGTTTTGCTCTCGTGATGATGGAAATTATTCTCTTTCGACTGCAGATGCTCATCAACATCGCCCTGAATGCAACATGTAAACGCCGTTTTGAAACCCATGCTCCTCTGATGTGATCTCTCTCTCCCCCTGTCTCTCTAGCCTTCGGTCAGGCCGTGGCTTTCAGAAGAATGAGGTCAGGTTCTCGGCCCCCAGCACAGATGCATGTCTTCGTTGGTTATCCAACCCAATAAACTCCAGTTCATTCATTATATGGCTACTGCAAGCAGCAGATGATGTACAGATTGGCCGTGAAAGGTCGTGACGAACCAAGAATTCTAACAGAATCCGCGGGGATCAAACATGGTCCTGCTGTAGGTCGGCATTGGGAACGGTTGTCGAGCGGTCGCCGTCAACAATTGCTCGAATGCTTGCAGCCGGCGAGCGAGCTCTTGGTGTTCCTTCATGATTGCCTGGTTTCTCTTTTCGAGATGGTGGATGTATTCCGTTGCTTTCAGTAGAACAGTTCCCTAAACACAGTCAGAACCGCCAAAAGAATAGCATTCACATGATGGAGCAGAGACGCCATACCTTGCTGACTTTGGGCGCTCCGCGGGTCTGGCTGTCATCGTCGTCTTCGTCGCCCTCCTCGGGCATGGACTTCAGAGACGGGACCGCATCTCGGAGCTCCGCAATTTTGTCCTTGAGATTTGTGCGATATTTCCTCTCAATATCATTGTGCGCAGTCCGATCCCCCAATTTCCCTTTCTCATTTGCCGCCTCTGCAGCAGCGGCAGCTTTGGCGGCTTGTACTTTCTGTGCCTTCGTTTGTTTCGCAGGCCTCGGTGTCTCGCCCTCCTTCTCCTTCCCTTTGCCCTTGGACTTCGTCGGCTCGTCGCCGGCTGGCTTTGAGATCTCGCTGAGGCTTGCTGTCGCAGCACTCGATCCCATGTGGCCCATGCTCGAGTACTCGGATCCTATGTCACCTCCCATGCCAAACCCGAAGCCGGAAGCAATGTTGTTGGCGGATCCTCCTGCGTTGAGGGCAATGGCGAGCAATCGCCTTTGCTCGGGGTCCAGCATAGGCGCACCGAGGCCAAAAAGCGGGTTCATTCTGAGGCCGGGGGCTGGTTTCTCCCAGCTCAATGGTGTTGAGTAGAGTCCCTCTCGAGGCGGTACTTCTGATGGGGGCTGAGTTTCAATGGTTGATAGCTGCTCGCCCAAATTCATGTTGTCGAGAAAGTCCTCATCCTCAGACAGCGCATTGTCGAGGGCGCCATCGTCCAGAAAATCATCCTCCCTGAACGTTGGGTTTGCATAAAGGCCGGTGCCCAACCCTGGTGTCGTAGGCAAGGGATTGAGCCGCGCTGGTGGTCTGTCGCAAGTCAGTCTGTGCCGCCTGCAAAAGTTCTGTCACGTTGCGCCGCCTGCCTACCTGCCGAAATGTGAAGGATTACTGGGCCGTTTTGAAAAGTCGATTTCGAAACTACCACCCAGGTTGTTGTCTGCGTCATCATCGTCAAATTGGATCCAGTAGTCAACCGACTCTAGAGCTGCCGCATCCGGATCCATTTTGGTCCTCTTCTTCTCGTGCCCTTCCTTTCTTCGTGGGCTCGCTATACCTTGTGTTGTCCTTGAAAGCCCAGGCCCCGGTCGTTTGTTATTGGCCTGGCCCAGCACGGGCCGGTACGAGAGGTTCGTCGGCGCTGTGGAGGACTGCGCAAAAGAGGGTACTGATGAGGAAGGCAGATTGGAAGACGGCCCGGTCAAGGATGGCTCGCCTTTCGCGAGCGCGTCCCAGAAGGCAGCATCGGTCTCATTGCGAGCGGCAGCTGCGATGGACGATTCGCCGGCCTGGTCGGGGTTGGTGGGTGTTTGGTTATTGGGTGTGGCGAAATATTCAAGGTTTTTGAGAAAGTCGGGGTCCATTACAGCGCCAGCATGTCGACCCCCGAAGCTTCGAGGGGTCGTACGATCTAGGAATCGACTGGCTGCTGGCTATGCGAACACGAAGGGAACTCGGCGGTGCTGGCGGGATTGTAGCCAATGTTGAGGAATGTTCGCGGCAAAGACTTGTTTGCTAGGCTTGCAGCATCACTCGGCACGGGCTTTGGTGTCGTCTCCAGACTTCGCGCTGTTGCTACTTGGCGAAGGGCGGTCCTAAAAAGCTGTGTGGCCCTTGTGCGGGATAGAGGTCGGAATGGCGGGGATCGCACCGACTTGGCGTTGCGATGATGAGAGCAGACAGTGCGGAGGAGTTCGCAGGCTTGTGGAAAATTAGCAGTGGCCGTCAATTGATTCGAGATTTGAAGCAGCGACGAGGCGACAGCAAGGCATGGGAGGTGTCGCGACCAAGAAAGTCAGGCTACGTTAGGTGGTGTGAATGGATGATGGTGGGGAAACATGACCAGGCATAGGAATTGGGGAAAGCGAGAGCACAAATACGCACCAAGCTGTTTAGCAAGCTTCCAACAAGCGCAAAAAGATATTTAGTTGAGACTTGCGAAGGGGGTGGTCGCCGGGTTTCGCTTGCGAATGCTACTAGCAGGTTGCGGAATGGATACGGGAGGGAATGGTGAGTCGCAAATGTCACTTTTGTTCATTCGGGTCAGGGGGAGCGAGGAGGGCAAGGTATGGAAGCCGGAAGGCCAATGAGGTTCCGGAGGCGAGATTCGACAGGCCAGATGATGGCCTGACCTTCTCAGGGAGAAGTTCCCGCTAAGCGGAAGATTTTGGTTGCGCCTGACGAAAATCGACCACTTCATGTTGACAATCGTATGATACTCAAGGCTGGAGAGGGGAGTCGTGCGATCCGACGCCGAGAACCGCAGGTGAGCTTCATGGTTGGATGACGAGCCCGAGGCCCCGCTACGGGGCGTTAGCGGCCTTAGCCTTGCAGCTGACTCATCGCAACATAGTCTCCACCACGCCTTGCAGGGAGTCACTTCCCGACGTTCCGCCCCCAGCTCGCCCACCGGGGGAAGCCCCGGGGAGCGTTCTAGGTGATTAGTCCCCTGAAGATCCTCGGCCAGTGACATTTGACAGCGGGCCAGGCCTGAAGCGGAAGGCTGAGTACCAGCACAGGGTTTGTTCTTTGCCACGTGCTGCATGTAGATGTGTTTCCTCAGGGCACGCACAATAACGCATAGAGATCTTTCGCTCACCTGCATCCGTCGCCTATTTACACCACGACAATTTGCCAACTCAGAGCTCTGGTGGCACACGACCGCCACGGGGCAACGAGGAAACATACATGTCCCGATCTTATGATACCTTAGACCCAGTGCACAACTCGGTACAAGCGTTCCAGTCCTGCTCTTGACAATTGCTGAGACATATGGCTCCCTTCTACTCGCACTGGCTCGATCCTTCATAATGAAATATCGTCTAGGCTCATCCACGAGGATTCGGGTCTTTAGATCGACTCGCACAGTCGACACACTTTCCAGTCGCCACCACAAGGTCATGCTTCGGGCTTGGTCCCCGACAGCCGATCTGGTGGCACCACTTGAGGTTATAAAAGCCTGTATGGCCACACTCCCACATCTTATCGACCTGGATACACATTATACAGGTCCTCCCCGGTTTTTGTTGGTGTCTGAGCACTGAAAGTATCGATGTAGAGTAGTATGTGCGGACAAACTATGGCCTGTCTCGTGTGAGCCGTCCGGAGAGTTAAGACAAGAAACGTGCAAGCAGAATCTAGCTTTGTTTGCAAGCAAAATACACTCTTACCAGTATTACTCAAGGACATACAGTCTCTAGCATGAGGCTCAAGAGTTATGAACGCTGATAACGTATCTTCTCCTGACAGAACTGGATTGTTGTCCTGCACCTGCTCCGGACCTAGAGGTCACAGCTGTCTAGTAACAGCGGGGAGGCTCTGTGACTGGAATCGCAGTACTATGGCCTGGGGGGCAATCAATTCACATGTTGTCAACGATAGTTCCGGCCCAGTTGCGGAGGCTCAGGGGTAAATATATGTCGAGCGAAGGCGGGCCGCAAAGGCGGGGAGGCGGGCTAAGGGTAGATCATCCATCTCTTCAGTGCTATCAGTCAGACCTAGAATATCCCCCGAGGTTTCCATACATGGAGCCAGAAGGCATGCAGGCTGCCGAGAGCGTGGGTGCTGTGCAACCCCGTCACGCTAGGGAGCCAGCTCCCTATCGTGTCGTTTTCTCGTGACTTGTAGCACTAGTCTAGGTCAGGCTTGATTTTCGTCACATATCCGAAACAGAACAATAGCGATTGAGAAATGAGTTCTGGGAAATATCCTCAGCGAGGCTAATGCGGTGTCGAGGTCAGCCATAGTTTGGTCCGTTGTGTTTGCTCAACATGCGAAATCAGGGGCCCTCGCAGCTACTTCGTGTCTCATACCTCATGGTTCAAGTTGTGAGCTTTCGACGGCCGTATCAGTATCAGACGTCTTTGACTGAAGTTCTCGTTACAGAAGGAAAACAAGGAATCCACGTTGAATCCCTACCTCCTGCCGAGTCACTGTCCAGGAGAGGGGCTTGATCACGCCGTGGGGGCTTGCCATCGGCCGGTCTTGTGAGCTGTCAGAACCCCCGAAACCCCGCCTCACCCCACAACGTTTACCAAACCCTTACTTTTGCTCTAGTACACGCAGTACTTCGCCCCATCACGGCACACCTGCCCATCCACGTTAGGAGAAAAAAAAAGTCCAGTGCGCCTCCTCAATACATGCTTTCAATCGATATGTACTGTAGAGATTCAAAGACCTCAATATCTTCGTGTCACCAATTCCATGTCATGTCGCCAACCTCGTTGCATACACGACGCCCACGCGATGCAACCACAAGATGGCTGCCACACATGTCGCATGCATCCACACGAAGGACCTGTCATCTCCTACTGCATACAAGCCGAGCTCCCCGCTTGGGTCCGGTCCAAATGCAAGGGTAGCCCAGTGCCGTCAAGACCTGCTATGGGCTGTTGAACAACTGAAAGGGTGTGCAGCCGCGGCGTTCGGACCTGATCTGTCATGTGTTGTGACGTCTTAATTGATGTCCACGCCGCCACGTCTTTGAGGGGAAGGGTTTTGCAAGATCATGGCCCCAATCAGCTTCTTGCTGGTTCTTCGGTATATCATGTGAGGGGAGGGTGCTGCTTGACACCCTTGGCACCGTGTGTCGCAACGGCATTGCTTCGTATGGTAGTTTGTAGAGTGAATCAGCGTCATTTTGGTATCAGCGAACGTATTCAGTGTTTCTGTCTGCACCACATCTCTGGCCCCGATTTACGGCAACTTCAGCACACTTCAGCACATGTTCAACGCCACCTTCCTTAAACCAAAGGTACGCTTCGCTCAGTAGATACACCATGAAGGGAATGAGGGGGTTCGCATGGCGATGCTCCGTTGACCATGATTTATAGATCAGTCTGCAACAGCTTCGGGCGCCACTGAGGTCCAGCATGAACTGCAAGATGCCAGCTTGAGTTTGATGTTCACTGACGCACTTGCCGTCTCCTTTAAAAGAAGCTTTGCAGGCCCGCCGTTGCCTTTTCAGACCATCTCTGCGCGGCTGCTGGCTGGAAGTCTGTTTGCAGACCTCCTGCCCTAGGTACCTCGAGGAAGTTACCTAACGACCATCGATGTGATCCTGCCCTAAAGCTCCTCCTAGAATCTGCTCCTGCCTCAGAGTTCTGACACTTAAGGTCATTCCGCAGAAGCATAAATCAATCATCCTGAACACCTACCTACCTAGGTAAGCAAGTACATTACAAGTAGTGGCCAGATATCCAGGACTTGTGTCACCCCATCCACTCCTTTATCCACGAAGTCTCGGAAGCAAGCTCTCTGCTCAACGCTGCCATACTTCTCTCAGCCCCTGCAACTTTGCAACAACATTTCCTACGCAGCTCACAGCTTGAAAGGCAAATCTCAAAACGGCTCCAGGACTGGGGAACCAAGACATGATGCGACTCTTTGCGGGCTCTCATCTCGTAGTCTTGGTCCTAGCAGCCTGGTGCCAGCATATTTCGGCGCTCTCGTGGGGTATACAAACGAAACGCCCAGCACCGGGAGGCTTCCTAGGGGGTACAACCCTGAGTTCTACACTTGGTATGGAGAAGGACTTACCCCTGCCAAGTATGTACGCAGTGGCCTTGCGTGAGCTGCAAGAACTCGAGACCCAGCCTCTCTGCCACCGGGTCGCAGCTCGTCTCCTTGTCAACAACTGTCAACTCCTCGACGGCAAAGACGATGCCACCGTGTTGATCGACAGTGGTCGTCAGGTTCGCGACTTTGTCGATTCCTACGCCGCCAGTTTAGCCATTTGCGATCTTGAACGGGGTAGCTTTTCCATTCCGCCTGATTGCTCCAGATTTCGAGAGACCGTCCTACTCAGCCTTCCAGCATTCGACAAGATGAACCTTCACGTCTCGACGCGAGAGATCGACTCCTGCCTCACTGCCCTGGCCAAGTCAGATTCAGCGTGGAACACTTGGGTCAGCTACCGCCACAAGGCTCTTAGATTCTGCGAGGCCGCTCGCGCTGACAATGAAAAAGGCACGTTCTCAAGCTTTGTTTTCCCTATTGCTTGTACTAACAATATCTAGCGCAAAACGTGGAGTTATACAAACGGTTGACTGGAGTGCTCTCCAGGCTCACTCGTGGTGTTGAAGCCGACCTGGAGAAACATCTGCAATCCATCAATGACAAGTTAGATAATGCTCACCTCAATCTGGATCACCTGACACCCCGCCTAAATCATCTTCGAGATGGCCTCACCGCGCTGGAACAAATGTTGTCCGAAAGGGTCTTTCACACGACAAAGGTAGGTCGATACTCACGATGATGTGCGGGTAGGGTCGAGCTCATATTCATAGGACACTACGTCTTCGATCCAGAACGGCCTACGGGACGCCAATACTCTCCAGCAACTGATCTCAGTCCTCATTGAGACAGTCCTGCAAAGTAATGCCGATAGCTCGACTTCTCACGATCGTGCTCTTGAGACCATACAAAAGTATACCGATCTCGAGTCGTCCGTTGTTGCAGCACTTGAACGTGTCATGACCTCGACAAATTCCCTTCAAGAGCATATTGTACGTGGCCTCCAACACCCAAAACTCATGACTCATTTTGTCGTAGACGGCATCAAAATCTCAGACTGCTGCCCTTGCACATCAGCAAGACCGCCTCGAGCAAGTAAGTATGGTGAATATCGGCAGTTGTCGAGCTGCTTGATTGACATGAATCAGAGGATGAATACTTTACTTGAATTGTCGGATCGAGTCGCTAAAAAACACGAAAACCACATTGGGATGATAGAGCAAGCTCATACAAAAGCCGGAGACATACTTGACAAGTTGACAGAAGCCTCGGCTTCGGCTAGCACGGTCCACGACTCTATCCGTGGCAGTGTTGGCTGGATGAACTGGTGGCCATACATTGTTTGTCCAACAGTCTCTTTGACTATGGGCTCTTACGGACTACCTCCGTCAGCTGTCAGAAACCTAGGACTGGTTGCCCTTGGTGCGTATCTCGTCAGTTGTAGCCCAAAACTCAAACTGACGATCAACTAGGCGAGCTCACTGGATTCGCCATTTCTTTAGCACGTCATTTACCACGCGACATTGTGCGAATTTGGAACGACAATGGCTCCTTCAGGCTGGGCACCGATATCCAAAGCGGCTCGAAGCTTACACCAATCATTCCATCTACTGTTCGCTTTCGAAATGGGACGATCTAGGCGGTAGTATTCGCATGAAATCTTGGGATTTTCGTTTTACAGAACATTGGGGGCTAAGTGGAGGTTTATACTCTCCATGGGATTTATTCTGGGGGTCGATCATAGCTGAGAAGCATAGGCGCGATCACTTGGGACATCAGGAAGAACTGGTGATGGTTGAATTCGCGTAGCTTGAGGAATTTCGGGTAAGGCGTTGAATTAGCAAGCGTTCGTATTCGCTACCGAAGCAACCATAGTACAGTCTAATTGTTATGGGATTCTTCTAGTTGATGGACTGCCAGTAGTCGATGCAATAATGGTGGTGTCGTGGTGGTGGGGCGCGTCACTTGCGAAGCGACCGTCCTGCATGCGGAAGCAGACAACATATGTATGTGGCAGCAGCTGAAGTGCCTCTTCTCATCGGCACCATCAAATTCCAGGTGTATCAGCGGCATTGTACCTCCAACTTGAATGTGCCGACACCGCGATAATAAAGCATCTAAGCCCACTCGGCCCAGTGTGCAAGCCTTACTGCCGCAATGTCTTCCTCAGTGATCAGAGTCGCTCTTGTCCAACTTTATTCTGAGGTCAGTCAGTCAATCGCGCGACGGGTACAATTTGGCATCCCGCCACTTGCCGAGACTACCTTGATGAGAGGAATTTATTCGAATTTACATTGGAGAAGTCCAGTAGTGCTGACGTATATGTAGCCGCTCTCCCCTGCGTCCAACTTTACCAAAGCCGAGTCATTCATCCGCGACGCTGCATCCCAGGGCGCTCACATCGCCGTCCTCCCAGAATATCATCTCACGTCCTGGGCGCCGCAAGACCCCCGCTTCCTCGCTTGCTGCGAGCAGTCCCCCCTCTATCTCGAGAGGTACCAGGCTCTCGCCAGGGAACTGGTCATCGCCATCGTCCCAGGTACCCTTGTTGAGCACCGGGCCGAGACGGGCGACCTCGTCAACATTGCGTACTTCATCTCTAGCGGCGGCGAGGTTCTCTCGCGCTATCAGAAGAAGAACCTCTGGCACAATGAGCGGCCCCACCTCGTCGCGGACCCTTCGGAGCACAAGGCTTTCGACACGGCGCTCGGCGGCGGGTGCCGAGTGGGCATGCTGGTGTGCTGGGACCTGGCGTTTCCCGAGGCGATGAGGGAGCTGGTGCGAGATGGAGCGCGTGTCGTGATCATCCCGGCATTTTGGCTGATGGACCAGTATCGCGACCGGATGGGAAGGGTCATCAATCTGGAGAGCGAGAGGGTGTTCCTTGACAGCGTGGTTGTTGCAAGGGCATGTGAGAGCTCTGCGGCAGTCATTTTTGTCAACGCTGGAGGTCCGAAGCCGAGCGCAAAGGGAGAGGATCAACCTGTGAGCTTTTGCGGGGTGAGTCAGGTCGGGATGCCACTGCTGGGATCTCAAGGGAGGCTGGGGGCGGAGGAGGGTATGAGTGTCGTGGACGTGGACCTTGACATACTCGATGCTGCCGAGGGCGGCTATAAAGTAAGGGCAGACTTGGGACGAGAAGGATGGCATTACGGGTACTCTCTGGTCAAAGAAGGCGAGAGTGGTTGAGGAATGGGACATCTCTATTTAGGATGCCTTGAAAGAAAAATAAAAAAACTGCGGTACCGTAAACAAGCTCTTGAAATAATGCGTCGCTAACCATGCTAACTTCATTGATCATTGCACTTTTTGCAAGCCGTAAATGAACACATCGATCAGGGTATCGGCAAAGTCTCCATCCTCTTCCGTCTTGCTTCGTGCCGGGTGATGGCGAGGAACTCGATCCGGGTCGCGATCCTGTTGCGTCCATGTTTATGCTCCAGTCTCCTTCGTTCCCTCCCCACATTGTGTGACCGGTCCCGTTCGATCTTAGGGTCGGAGTACGGCTCACCGCAGATGAATCTGAGTCCTTCGTCATCTTTTGACGTCCACACCCCCATCATGTTGGTAGGCAATCCCTGGTTTGGGTGTGTCTTCAGCATCTCCATAACTTCGCTGGCTATTCCGGTTTCCATGCATGTTGCTGTCAGTGCTCGACAAACGATCTTGCGTGAGTATCCAAATGATTCGTAATACTCCACCTTCCTCGCGACCTCGTCAGCGTCTTGGTCTGTCTCGAGAGCTGGTCGCACTTCATTGTTTCTTTCGTGTGCTTTAGCCACGCTCGCCGACCATTCATGAATCCTGTTCACTCCTCGATTTATGGTACCTATTGTGAGGTCATGTTCCCCAGCCCCCTTCGTATCAGGTTTGCTCTCATGTCGTTTGCGAGCGGAATCCCTGACAGGCAGATTGAGAGGTATCGGTGAATCATCCATTGCCTCTTGTTGAAGTTGCTGTGATGGTGTGATTGCATCATCACCCGTGTCCTGCGAGTCGTACACCTCGTCTCTCGCGGCACGGCCGCGAATCACAGAGTTGGATTTGGAACGAGTCCTCAAGTTATTTCCATCTACTTTGGAGGCCTGCGAAACATTATCCGGGGTGGGAGGAATCTCGTCATCCCTACTTCTCCGTTGTCGTTTGTGCGCTGAGCTGCCATGAATTGAGGCGTCATGGACCATATCAGTAGTTCTATTCCTCTTGGCACCCAAAGAACCTCGCCCGGATGCAGCACTCATGTCTGCTGTAGAATCAGTGTTATGGTGCGAAATCTCCTGCGAGTGCCATTGCCCCTCGTCGTCTTCTGGTGATATCTCAGGGTCACTCGCTCCAGAAATAATCGCGCCATTTCCATCAGCAGGGTCTGGGATACCCTCTTCGGCGTTGCTCTGGCTGTCGGGTTCTTGGAGGGTATTGACGAAGTCTCGCAAAGAGTTTTCGTAGCATTTACGCAGAAGCTTCGCGGCATTCGGATACTGACCACGTGTGAACCCAAGCTGTTCCGCGACTTGTTGCCAGTCCTCTTCACCATCTGGATCTCGGTAGGCCTCGACAGCTACGTGTAGCAGGTAAAGATCCACTGACTGTCTACATATCTTGGGCTGTAAGTCGATGGCGAGTTCCATGACCTCAGAATATGCGGCTATGTTGGCAAGAAATTCGTTTCTCTCGTCATCGAGCTCTGGGGAAGGAGGCTCGGTCTGCACATCCTTAACTTCAATGACATCCTCCACCCTCTCGGGGCTCGTGGTTGTTCGTCGCACACCACGACGTTTGTCGTTTGGGGGGGCGTTTTCTTGTGGGGAGGTACTTTGGTTTCGAAATGGTGGTTTCGAATACGCGTGGTAGAAGTCGTATTTCTGTCCCTTGCCCTCTGCAGCCTCGATACGAGGCCTCAGGACTTTCAGCCAGTGATTCCGCCATGATTGCCAGGTATGTTCTGGGTTCTTCCATACGGTCAGCTCGAATCAACCTGTACCATCTCCTATTGCACGCATACCTCTACAGCAAACTCTTGAAACCATTTTGGGCCGGCCTGTATGCCTTGCCTCGCTGCACGTTTGACACTCTTAGCTATCAAAATATCATGTTCCGGCGTAAATCGGGATCTCTGCGATGACTGCGGTGCCTCATTCTTGGACAACTTAGGCAGACTGTTGCGAGGGGACTGATCACGTAGACGGGATACTAGAGGGCTCGCCATCTGCGCGTCGGCCTGTGACTCTGGAAGTTCACAAGGCTCAGCAGGAGAACTATCTGCACGCTCCAGCTGATTTCGGTAATGAGACTTGATCTCCTGGCGCGCTGCATCGGCGACAGTACGAGTCAGCAAGCCGGCGCCTTTGGTGCGCGCTAGGCGTGACAAGATGCCGTCCTCTTTCCAGAGGTCGTCCAGTCGATCATCGGCCTCCAAGACGTATTTGGTAACCCGCAGCATGGAATCGATCGTGCGCTGCTGAACAGGCTCTTCGAGCGGGTAATCCGAGTGCCACCACTGGCCTTGAGGCCAGTATGACGCGAGTTCTTTGAGCTGCGCAGTGCTCTCAAGATTCTGCAATTTTGGTTGTTTTATCGGACTTTCACTTGGTTGATGCTGCGCTGGTGCATCACGTTGTTCCGGCAGCTGAGCCGGGGTGCTGCTAATGATCCTCTTTTGCAGTTCCTCCTGGGACAAAAACGAGAGCTTCTTGACCCAGCGATCTCTCCACGATTGATAAGTGTGGCGATTGTTCTGAACAGATTATTAGTAATAGCGAAGCAGAAGCTAGGAATGAATACATACAACCCGCTCGAGATCTTGGTATACCGCATTTCCCTTGTCGTTCTTACTATTCGCAAGAACCCACTTGATGAGGTCAGAATCATCAGATGGAGTGAATGGAGTACGAGTGCTTTTCCCCGGTGCAGCGGACGCCGTAGGGCGGGACTTCTGAGATTGATGGCCAATCAGGTATGTGCCATCATCTTTGTTCTGCAGAACGCCCTTTTTGATAGAATCATCGACCCATTTCCAGGAGTAGGCATCTGGTGGCGCGTCTGCTCGCATATGGTCTGCGATGAGCATATCGGCATTCTTCTCCAAGGGTACGATCGAGCCGCCATTGTTCTGCGCCCGAGTCAGGAAAATGAGTATCAGGGTACGATTTTTAACTGACCGAGATAGAATCCAGCAAGGACTTTCGACAGGCAACCCGCTGTGCGACCCAAAACTTTATGCCCTTGAATAATTGGCCGCCAGGCAGTCCTTCATAAGTGATGGCTGCCGACATTTTTTGTGATTCGACCCGCGGATTGTCTCGACGGGAACTGGAGCCTGAAGAACGAGAATATGTATGGACCTTAGGGCGCAAGACTGGGGGCAGTTGAATGCGTTCTGAAGTAGGTTTACGTTGTAGATCTTGAAGGTGCCGACCCCAGGTCTTTTACTCAGCGGGGGTCCCGCAAGTTGTGAAGTCCGTGGTTCCCTGCCCTTTCGTGACTGGTGCCCACTGAGCGGCTGGCGGCGTAGCGGCCTGACGTCCGCACGTTGTGACCAAGGTGAAGGTGACAGTGACTGACGCGTGATGAGGCGCGATTGAACCCGTGCCATCGCGTCCTCACGTGCAACCCATACACCCCGCAACTCTCTGTTAGTAAGCAAAATCCGAGCACCCAGCTTGTCAGCGTCGGTTATCCGGTGACGTTGGTCTCTCAACGGGCCATCCGCATTGCTTTGGTCATATTTGAGACCAAAGGGTGCACGACTGAAGGACAAAACAGGAATTGAATCACTGCTATTCGCTTGGTACAACTCTGATCTGTGTTGCGAAGCGAGCTACAGCCGTCGTGCCCAATGCAGCTGATAGTAACTGCGACTACAGTCTCATCTCTTTGCTGCCTGCTGCTGACGTCTTGAATTTTCGGTAGGCCGCTGAGACAAGCCTCGCAGCGTCCGGCGAGGTTTCACGTGTTGCTCTTTTTGTACCCGGCGGGCTTTAGGTGCATGTTTTTGAGTTGCATGTTGCAAAGATGGGCATAATTAGAACAGTAGCGACAATCGTGCTGAGCATTTCGTTCTTCGTGTTCGTGCTCTTCTTCGGACGACTTCCAGCCTTGAGGTAAGCCAGCTGCTCCGCAATGCACCCCGTTCAAAAAGCTGATGAAGGAAATACTAGAAATACTCCAGTCGCGGCGCTGTATAAGTTACTCTTTGTCCGTGTTCCAGATGGACTCGTTGCTCTCGATCGGATTTTGACGTCAGGGCGTCTATCCCGATCTTTCTCACGATTTGGAAATTACATCATGTACGACAGACATCCGACGATAGTGGTGCGTTACTCCTGTCTCAGGCCTCCCTGTTCATTCTGATGGGTGTAGATATTCTTCTTTGGCTTGCTCTTAGGTGCCGAGTACTTGTACCTACCGAGCGCCTGGTCTCAAATGTCGACCTCCCATCGGGTCTTCGGCTCCATCAGCGTCTTTTTGCCATACTTGTTTCTTTACCTGGCGGTCAACGCCGATCCCGGCTACATCACGCCGGAGAATCACGCCTATTACATGTCGCTCTATCCATACGATTTCTCCATATTTCACCCCGGCCACAAGTGCAGCACCTGCGGCTTCATCAAGCCCCCGAGATCCAAGCACTGCAGTATCTGCAAACGCTGCATCGCAAAGTGCGACCATCATTGCATCTTCATTAACGGATGTGTCGGCTACGAAAACCACAAATGGTTCGTCCTGCTCCTCCTTTCGACTGCCATTTTAACGACATACGGTGGTGCTCTGGGCTACTCGATCCTCACAGCCAAGATCCGGGCTAGGTTTCCTGGATGGTCCGTCTGGCCGCCAAGCTCGCTCAGCTGGGAGGACTACTTCCTCATCTGGAGTTGGGGGCTTCAGGACGACGTCAGCATGGGGGCTGTCACGCTGCTGTCGTCCATGACGACCCCCTTGGTTTGGGGTCTGCTCATCTACACGCTGTGGCTCATCTACTGCGGCACGACGACCAACGAATCCCTCAAGTGGTCCGAGTGGAAGGAAGACATGGACGATGGACTTGCATTCAAACGCAGCATGTCGACCAACAGAACGAAGGACCCCCTGCGCGAGTCGGCGACTTCGCGATGGCCGCTCGACACCCAACAGGTCCTGGTGACGACCGAGAACGGCATGCCGCCGGCCGCCGGTGGACCTGGACAGGGCGAGTGGGAACGCATCTGGAAGATGCGCGATGTCGAGAATCTCTACGACATGGGGCTTTGGGATAACATGATGGACGTCTTTGTGAAGGATTATGGGTTCGGGAAGCGGCGGGACCAACCTCCTATTGAGGATGAAGGCCGGCCGCGTCAGCCATTGAAAGCCTCTCGGTTTTGAGGCACTCTGGGCCGCTGTTGGCAGTGCAAGCTGGCAGTTCGACAGCCAGAGAGACTGCTCTAGGGGTACTGGATCGCATCATAATATGCATTACCGATGACACCGGCACAAAACGTAGACCAGTGTGGAGCGACAACGATGGGCGTCAACATATAGATGCAAGGTACATTCATTAAAACCTAAGCAGTCGCGGCGAACGGAGTCGTGCTTCTCGAAGAATGAGCATTTAACGGGGTTTCATTGTCCATTTCTCGTAACTATCGTTCCCCCACGCAGGAGGCATTAGGCAGCAGCAGGCGCTGCGACCGATTACAGCCTTTGATTTCATCCTCTCACCACGTGTCTGCCTTATCCAGGCGAAGCCATATCCAGGCGAAGCAGCCATACCTCATCTTTGCAATGAATAGTCTTCGGTGCCGTCGGTCCTCCTGTTGGATTGTGCAAAATTACAGAATGGTTCCAAAGCTGGTTCGTGTTAGCAATGCAGCTTGGCCCGCTTGCAAAAGGTAGTCACTTACCCGAAGGTGCGCTTGATGCTGTTCACATAGTACTCCTCCCAGTTGCGCTTGGTGACGTCCTCCTGGCCAACAGGAACGCCGGTCCAGGACACGCGCATCAAGGTAACGTGGTCAATGTCGTTCTGGTCGAACTCAATGTTCAGCTTGGAGAAGTGGCCAGCGGGCCACTGCTTGAGACGCCAGCTCTGCACGATCCTCTTGGGGGACTCCAGCTCCAGGTACTCGCCCGAGACATTGCCATCAAAGAGCTCGAACTTGCCGCCCTTCTTGGCACCCTCAAACACCTTAGGCGGCGCACGGGTAAAGGCAGCAATACGACCGGGATCAGTGAAGGTCTCGTACAGCTGGTCGGCAGAGGTACGAAACTCAGTTGTCTCATTCAGGGTAACAGTGTTCACGACGCCTCCATTGTTGGCCTGAGTGGAGGACTGGGCTGCAGACTTGGAAGCGCTTGCAGGCGCATGCACCTTGGGGGTGGAGAAGCCGCTGGATGGGTTGGACCCAGGCGCGTGCTGGATATCCTTGCCATGCTCAGCAATGAGGGCTGAAGAGAGCTTAGAGAACTCAGATCGAAGCTGAGGGACAAGCTTGGAGCGAACCAAGTCCTTTACAGGCTGCTTGTCCTTGGACTCGGCGAAAATGTCGACGTCGAACACGTACTCGTCTTCCTCGGTGTCATGGGCGACCTCAGGGACCGTAATGGTACCCGAAACGTCAGCCTCATCGGGAGTAGAGCCAGAGTACTCAAGCACGAGCTTCACGTCGAAAATGGTAATAACTTTGCCCTTCCTTTGGCTGACGTCCACATCGCCGTCCATGCTCACGAGCTTGCTGATCTTCGCTGTGACACCGCCATCCTCAGCCTGGAGCTTCAAGAGCGTGGTCTCGAGGTACTCCTTGGCCCACGGTGAAACATCCTTGTTGACCCAATGCCAGTTATTAGGGTTATGGAGGACCATCTTGGAAGCGGTGACTCAGTTCTGACGAGAGCTGTGAGGCTGTGGCTTTTGACTGTTGAATCCAAGTCAGCAAAGAGCTCGAAAACAATGTGATGCTTGCGATTCAGGTAGGTAGGGTTCCAATGTTCAGAGAGAGGTCGAAGACCGAAGCATGTGTCATCAAAGATGGGAGTACAAGTCTTTCTATGACTGGTGCCAGCTGGCGTATCATCATGTGGAGGGGAAGAAGGGGGTTGAGGTGTTGTTGGCAATGGAGGTCGTCTTACCTGTGGACGTGTTTGCGGTGTCGTTATCTCATTGCTAAGGACACCTGCAGGAGCGAAGTGGGAGTAAGGTAGTTAAGTGAAAACAGCTTCAGAATGGAGTCGCGAGAGAAAGCTCTAGAATTTTGACGACTGCGGGGTGGAGACTGCTGCGGTAGAATCTCGGCTCGCCTGAAGGCCATGGGACCCTCAACGCAGCCCTGCACCATTCTGAGCCTCAGGCCGCTCGCAACTGGACTGGGCTGATTGATTGCCGACTGCCTGACAGAAAGAAAGTCCATTCGTAGATCGAACAGACCGAACAGAGCCAAGCTCATCTGGAGCATACCACCATCAAAGGGCCAAAGGGCCACTACCAACCCCACCACACCGACATCTAATCTGCAGCACACCGAGAAGGAGGCGAGGCCGAGAGGTCTATCGTCTATCTGCTACTGGGCTTTGAGGCTGCCAACTCGTGCGGGTCAGGTCACCTATCTGGCCAGTCGGTGGGCCGCTTGCGATTGTCCGAGAACGACTTGGGTTCTTTTGCTTGTTGGGTCGGGGGGTCGGGCTTCTGTAAAGAGTGACACGGCATGCATATGTGGACTTGGTCGACAAGCGACTCAGTACGCCTGCGCAACCCAGGTCATACCGCCGCGTTCCCGTGTCTCGACCAACGGATGCGAGGTGCCTTTGGCGAAGCAGCTTGGGCGAAACGCTAATGCAAGGTTCTCGACCAGCTTGCCTAGGAGCCGAATCACGCAGCGTGGTATCACATCCAAAATCAAAGGTTGGGCGACCAAGAGAGGTAGAAAATTAAGCGCCGACGCTTCTTCTTTCTCCGCACCTCGCAGCAGCCAATTGGACACCCATCATGCCCCCTGGCGTCTCCAAGAATAGATTGGACTCAACATGCATCGCTTTCCCACGAGCTCTGTCCCCGTCCCAGGAATCGCTGGCCGCCGCGGTCGCGACCATATGATCGGAGCCAAAAGATCACAGAGCGCACTCTGTACGTCTCTGTTACTGAGACAGCCTGCCTCTGAAAGGATCCCAAGCCAGAATATGGGCTCTCGACGTGTCAAATACGACCTATGCTCCCTTCAAGCGGACCGTTGGCAAGCCTTGAGCGACTGACGCCTAGCCGTGATCTCCTCGCACTCGAAGCACCTTGCAACAAAATAGCACCCACGGGCATCCCGGTCCTCTGTTGTGCAGTAGTCACATGCGGCACTGTTAGAGCTGTGGCCCGCCCAGGTTATCTGTCTTGACTGGTTGGAGAATGCCCTCCTAACAGGCTACCCCATGGATAGTCAACGCCAAGGTCAGCAAGCGTTCTGGCCGACACATGCACACACATCCCAGCCGTGATCGGTGAGGGGGCCGAACCAGTGGCTACCATATCACTCACCTGCAGTTCTTGAGCTCATGTTTGCCCATGTTCGTCGCTCCGATCGATTCTTTCACCTCTCTATTCTGTGTCTTCGATCGCGAAACGACAAGAAACGACACAGTCCGGGTCTTGGTTGGTGTCACCACAGCCAGAACTGGGGATCGATGTTACGGAAACCAACCGACATCCATTCACCCCACCCCTGACATCTATCTGCAGGGTCAAAGCCGCTGCAGGAGGTGTGCGGTACCATCCGTCGGCCAGCCCATTTCGCCAGCCGTCTGTCTCCTGTGCCGTCCATCCTCTTTGCCTTTTCGTTGCCAAAAACTTGCTCCTCTATTCCCTCCACTGCACCCTGTCGGCGAATCTGGTGTCACGACACTGCTGTTCGTCTTGTTTGCTATAGTTCGGCCATGCGCTTGACCTCACACTTCACCCGTTGCTGAACGGATCGGTGAAGAGCTTCTTAGCTGCGGCAAAGCAGCGCGCCTGGCCCAGCTCCCCCGCCTCTTCGTGCCAATCCTCGGAGCAACCCGCCAACGCGCCGCAGTGCTATTTCCAACGACGAGCCAAAGAAGCGTGTCCGACCAAGACGCGGCAGAGCCACGATGAGCAATCCTCGTGATCCTTCGCGCCTGCGGCAAGGGCTCAATCCTCTCTTGACCACCTCCCTCGGTGGCTATCATCAGAGCGCTGCACCATTGTCTGCTGTTTCACTGAGCTCGACAAGCCACCTGCAATCGGCACAGCCCACACCCACCACCGGAAGTGCCATACAGCCCTACAACCCTCAGGAATGGATTGCTTCGCCAGCAGCTGGGCCCGAACGAACGCACCAGTTTCCCGAAACTCAAAGTGGTACACATCCTTTCACCTCGTTGCTGTGGGCACGAGTTCCTTGTCGCAGGTCAACCGCAGAACTGACAATTCAATTAGTATCCCCTCCGCCCCCGCCTCCGTATAGCCCGCCTTGGAACCAGCGCCCAGTGAGCAGCGTGTTCGAGTCTTCTCCAGCAGCCAACACCTCGGCCGCCAGGGTGCCTCCAAGCAATGTTCATCGCCCGTCGCCAGAACCTGTTGCAAACACGTCATTCCCTCCTCCGCCTGGGGCGAACGGCCGAGGCGGTTCGCGAGAGAGACGGTTTGGTCTCTCATCGTTGCGAAGACACAAGGAAGCACATGAACAGCCTAGCCCTCCCGATCCCATGCCGCCCATCTCATTTTCGCGGCCTACACCTCCTCCCATTAATATCCCGATGGGACAGCCGGTGCCACAGCGAACGGCTTCTGGTTCCTCACAGGGACCTCCTGGTGCACGGAGGGCGGTGTCCACGAGCGCCATCGAGACTCCGACATCAGCCAGGTCTCGATCAACATCGCAGACAAGATGGGAGCCCGGCATGCCACTTCCGCCTCCGCCACCCGGTCCACCGCCAGCTTCATCCAGATCACAGAGCGTACAAAGTACCAGCAGGACGAGTGAACCGATGGTCTCGCCACCGACAAGGCGCCCTCCGCCCAGCAACGGCTCCGCGCTCGGCCCTGTTCCCCCGACACCTGCTGACTGGATCGATCAAGACGCCCAGCAAGCGACCCCAACACCTTCGCGGGGCAGGGCTGCTGGCCTGACGATTGATACCACCCAGCCTGCCTCTTCGAGTCAGGTCACCGAATTGACAAGCTCCGCCAGTCTTAGTCGTGCTGGTGCTGTGCGTCTCGACAAGACCATCGTTCAGAGGCGAGCCGAGAGCCGGACGAGACAACACGAGTCTATGGACGGCATCCTACAACCAATGCAATTGACCGATATTGTGGTCCCGAGTGCCACTACCTTGTCCCGACGACGGACCATTAACAAATCTACCCCGAGGAGCGGAGGCAGAACCATGCAGGACACGCCCCAGACTGGGGGGAGCGACTCTCAACGAGACCCGTTGAGTCTTACACCCAAAGCTCTAGGGTCTGCGCACGGGACTGGTCGGGACATGGCAACACCCCCTTTTTCACCACGTCCCGGGAAAGCCCCCGCCACTGATCCTCGAGGTGTTACACCGAAAGCACTCCCAACGCCGCCGCTTCACAGTCGCTCGGCTTCAGCCTCTCAGACTCGAGGCGGCAGATCAGGCTCCTTGGGTCGGGTTGCGGTGACGCCCTCCGACAGCGCCCCATCTTCATCAACAACGGTGCCCAAAACTGTGGTCGTGTCTCAAACAGCCGATCAGTTCTGTCAGGGGACCATTGAAAGATTTGAGGCTTTTGCGGCCAGCGAAGCCGCTGCCACATCCGATGGAGACCGAGTCCGGCTTTTTGCAGACTTTATCGTCAGCGAGTCGAGGATTCGTCGCGAGCGATATGCTTCGGCGATAGGGGCTATGGGGTCTGAGATATTTGATCTGACGAGGGATCTCTTCCGGCCCATGGCGGCCAGGCGAGAATCCGGGATCTATCCAGGCCAGAGCCAATTCACGCCGCTGTCATCTCAGCCCTCTCGATCGCACCGTGGGTCCATTGACTCTGCGTACCGAGACATCGCTGGGCAGTCGAGCTCAGCACCGACATCTGCCAATACACCAAGCTCGCCCTTGGCTGGTCCACCAAACAATGGTACATGGGCGTCCAACTACATGCCTTCTCTTTCTCCTATTCTGAGCCTCAGCGTCAGTGGGAATGGGGACGGTAGTTCTCGAGGCCGGCCGCCCAGCAGATGGTGGGAATCAGACTCGGCAGGAACTGGTGGTCATTTGATGGAGAGGTCCAAACGCGAATCCAAGTACATGGGCATGCCAAAAGAAGCCCGCGAGGCTCTGCAATGGGGAGACAGTCCGGTCCAAGACGAACTGCACACGGGCATCAGTGAGCCTGAGTTTTCGGCAGGCTATCCGCCCGAGAAGACGGGTTGGCATGACCAGGAGTCCGCCCTGACTCCCCAGCCCGTTGGCATTCGCAGTTCGACGCAGTCCCTCACCTCGTCGGCCTCGCCAACGACCCCAGGTCCAGCACAATTGGATATTTCTCGTCTTGTGACTCTGCCTCCTCCGTATCCTCGCCACCACCCGGCCGTGAATAACAACCACCCCGAACTCACGGCGACGCGCACGGCTGTGAGACAGATCAGCGATCTTTCCGAAATCGAACATGCTAGGGCGCGATACCAGCAAACGAGCCGCAAGAAGCGGGAAGAGGCCACCAAAGCTGCTTCGGAGCGACGATCGGCTCTGCGCAGTAACCTTCAACAAGAAATCAACTCGGGCAATATGTCCTTTGCAGAGGCTTCCGCGATTGAGCAAGATTCGAATGAGAGCGAAAGAGAGGGAATCAAGGACCTGGAAAAGGCCGACTTCGAACATTTCCAGAGCCAAGTCGTGATCCCTCTGAACGAGCTCCTCACTGGCCGCATCACCAAGGCGAACGCGCTCTTTGACGGGCTCGCCAGTCGTCTGTTTGACGACGTGGAAAGCGCAGCGGACATGCCGCAAGAGGAGGGAGACGACAAGCCAGAACTCCTGGAGAAGTTGACGCTGCTGAAATGGATTTTTGAGGCAAGCGAGGTTCTGCATCGGGCCAACTACGACTTGCTGTCGGACCGCAACGACCGGTACCGCGACGTTGTCGTCACGCCGTACCGGCTTGCGAATAACCAAGAAAAGGTGCGGTCCGCCGAGGCCTTCTTCGCCGAGGATGCGGCGAAACGACAGCTGGCCTTTGCCAACGAGGTACTCGAGAGGACGCGGACGTTTCAGAACGTCATGGAGCAGAACGTCGTGCGCGGCGTCGAGGTACAGCTGTCGGCGTTCTGGGACATTGCGCCCCCACTCAGCCGGCTGCTCGACAAGGTGCCGGGAGACCTCAGCGGAGGAGGGTTCCGGGTGCAGATTCCGGCGCAGGAGTACCAGGAGAACCCGACGTATCACCAGCACCCGTTACAGTACCTCTTTAGCCTTGTGCTGCACGCCGAGAAGAGCACGTACCAGTTCATCGAGTCGCAGACCAACCTGCTCTGCCTGCTGCACGAGGTCAAGGAGGCGACGGCGCATGCACATGCCAAGGTGGTGCAGGACGAGGAGGGCGGCGAGCGGGCGGACGCGCTGCGCCAGGAGGAGGAGAAGAGGCTGACGGAAGACCTCAAGGAGAAGGTGCGCGTCGTCCAGGACCAGTGGCACAGCGCACTGGGCGAGGGCGTCAAGGGCGTAAAGCAGACTGTGGGCGAGTGGCTCCTGCAGACGGGCGGTTGGGACGAGACGCTTGAGGATGGCGGCGTGGGCAGCGTGTGAAGTGGGAGTTTGTTAGAGGCAGGATGTGCTGCCGTGACGTTTCGTCTCCTTCATCTGGCTTGACAAAGTTGATACCCCCATATTACACGATACATCGAATTCTCTCTAGAAATCACAATTTTCTCAACATGATTTCTCATTGGGAAGTTTCTTGTCTAAATTGTTCTTGTTGGCAGACGTGGTTCAGGCTCGACCCCTGTGGCCGCCGTTCCACTGATCATGCTGGTGCTATTTCATACCAGCTCCTGCCATCTCGTCTAGGTATTCCGGTCCTCAAGGCATCTGCCGTTGTGCTTTCTTCCCCGAATGTAATGTACAAGGCGTATGTCGTGGTATCACATGTTGTACATGGCGGGGGACACAAGCCTATGCCGCCCCCCCCCGGGGGGGTCGTCGCCCGGTGTTTTTGTATCTCTGTCACCGTCACATCCCTCTCCTCGCCCGCCCCTCCGTGGCAAGGAAGGGGCCAGGCACCTTTTCGTTCCCGCATACGGTTCCTTCATTGCTTGCCAAACTCCTTGGGCAGATCCATGCCGACCCTCCTCGCCGTCAGCCGGACGCGCTCCTCCTCGTCCATGCCCATGCCGGGGTTGTAGCGCTCGAGCAGCGTGGCGTAGACGCGCTGGGCGCGCAGGTAGTCGAGGAACTGCACGGCCTCGGTGGCGGCGTTGGGGTGCGCGGCGGCGGGTTCGGCGAAGCTGCTGCGGATGCGGGCGTGGATGGGTGATCGGTTGCGGGCGAGGATGGGGCGGGGCGGGAGCTCGCGCAGGAGGCTGCGGTAGAGGGAGCGCAGGGTGGAGGTGTTGGAGGCCATGGCGGTGATCTTTGTGGCTCTCTCTTCGTCCAAGACTTCTGGCTTCGGTGTTGATTTGAGGGTGATGGATTGAGGGAGGTGGTGGTGTACAACGCGGCAGGCCTTGGGTGGTAAGTTTTTGGTGATGTAAAAGCCCAGACAGTCGTTGCGCAGGCGGAAGGGACTAGGCGTTGCAGTGCACCGTAACGGTCAACACCGTACGGCGCACTGCAAACACCTCTTCCTCCTGCAAGCAACGTCCCTTCACGACAAGAATGCCTCATGCCGAAAGCTTCGTCATGACCAGAGCATATTTGGAAGGGCTAGTATGCGTCAAGTGATATCCGGAATTACACTGAAAGAGAGTTCTTGAGAGCAGAGTGTGCAGCACAATTGTGAGTGCTCTCCCAAGCTTCCTTCCATCGTCTCCGTATTCCTGGCTTCCTCCCATCCTACCCCCCTCTCAACAGCAACTCACATGCAGAGATGCATCACGCCATGGCGGTCGTCTCTCACTTATTCTAGGGTCCGTTCACCCTGGATACCAAGCTGATAGAGCAACCCTTTGGTCTTGTTGCGTGCTCCGACGATGGACGCCGCCGGCCAACACAGTAGCTGGCTTCTGATGTAGGTAGTCAAACTCACCGAACATGTGTGATTCATTTAAACACTGCCCATAGCTCATTCGCATCTTATTCAATCACAGTCAAGTCACTCTTTCTCAGTGAACCCACAGCCTCTTTCGTTTGTACTTCAGGCCCAGCTCCACAGAAAAGCATACATCGGATAGAGCTGGCCATGCACCACCAGGACGAATCACGAGTGCAACGGGAGAGAGTGAGCCTCCAGTAGCCAAAAGCGCAACTCGGCTAACTTCATCTCAACGCGAGAAGCTGGTGGTTCGCCCGTGGAACAGCCAGTCGGTATACAGCTCACAGCCATGTTCATGTCTCAACGTAGGTCCTGTTCTCCTTACGATGGACCCGAAGAGCCTGACCTCCTGCGCACGCCCTTGTTTCTACCCCCTATTGATTGGAGGGTCACCCTGCATGGTGCTATCCGGACAGCGGAATTATCACTCGATATCGCCGGCCGACCAGGAGACAAGTTACGAACAGTCAGCTTGGTGAACGTCTTCGAAGTCGTTCTTGACCTCCCAACGAGCCTTTGTTGCAGTCCGAGGGCCCAGAGTAACTCGGCGAATGCTGCACGGTCGGCTCAAGCCAGGCAGTCCACTCCATGAGCATGACTTCGTCTCGAGAGCCGGATGATGGTCGAGGGATCTGTTCTCAGTCTTGTGCATGATGCAAGGAACGTCTCTAGGCGGCGAAGCAACAATCTGAGGGGGAGGGGCATGAACTGAAATGTTCGCTCGCTAATGTGTTATCAGTGCTCAAGACGCAAGCCAGTAGTCTGCGGGCCGCCTGGAGCCCATCAACCCGAAATCAAGAAGTTGCGGTCGTCGGTTTCCGACCCGTTACAAAGGCCCTGGAACCATGGGTCAGCACACCCTCATCGT